TTTCCTCTTGGATCTTTGCTTTTTTCTCCGATTTTGCTTGTATCTTTTGCATCAAGAATCTACAGTATTTTTTTCTTTGGTGCTTCGCTTCCAGCTCATAAATATGTTGCCATTGCTCTTCTGTCAGTAATTCAGGATTGATGCTTCCGTTGCCCAATGAATGCCATATGTGCACCTGGAAATAAGTAAACCAATTATTGATAAGTGATAAATGAAAACCCCATTCATCACTCAAAATCGCGATCACAAAACCACATTTCGGAATGTACACTTGTTTACACACACCTCGGCTTGTCGGTATCTTTTAAGCTCTTCAAATTTGTTGCTATCGGTTTTCTTTGCATTATCAAGCACGTCTGTGAACTCAAACCGCTTCAAAATGGGAACAGTCGATGCAGACGGACACAGAAAACGATTGAAACCAACCGCATTTTTTAAATGTTGCGACAAACTTCGAATCATATTCAAAACAATTCTTACAACTTGTTTACATGAAATGTGTGAACATAACCAAAACTGTCAGTGACACGTTCCCAGATGACAGTTTCGACAAATCGGGTCGACCGATGCGAATGTTATGATTTATGCGGTATTTGAAAATTCAAAGAAGGAATTTGCATACATTTGAATGGACCAGCTTGATTCGAATGAGTTTTCATAACACCAATGATTTCAACTAATTTATGCGCATTTTCATGATAAAATACTAAGCTTTATTGAAATTGATGAGAATATATGACATTCAGTGAGAAACAGTAATTTTGGTAGAATTTACTTATTCGTTTCTTTCTCATCTGAAGTCTGAATAAACTTTATTGGATTAATGTGTATTGATTTGGCTACAAAGTATACAATTAAGACTTATTAAAACGTTTCTGCTGCCTAAAACGGTAGATATCTTGTGCTGGAGGTGGCCGTGTGTGGTCGTTTCGTTTGCTTCGTTGCGTTGGTGTAATAAGTTTTGAGTTGGGTACGGCTTCAAAATGGTTAAGCTCGAGGTCATCCTCGAGGCGATCCAAATACTAGACGTCGTTGCCGCTTTGCCTCTTGATTGTCCTGGTCAATTCTAGAAAAATCACGAAAAAAAGGAAAAATAATTAAAATTCGGGAACTGATGACTTAAACAATCAAAATCTCTTTTTATGCATTTTTTTTTTCAAATCACTCAAGTCCAAATTACCTCTTTTCTATACATGTCGGTGTAAAAAATTTTTCCTTGCCACCTGATTCGTGGATCTTCTCGCAGCCGTCACATTTTCGTTTCAATTTTTCGATTTCGATCTTCAACAAATTCGGGATATCATCGATTTGCTTTTGTAAGTCTGGAATTTTTTCGACTTCCTTCTCTAAAGTCTTGTTTTTATTCTTTAAAGCTTCGATTTCCTTTTCCATCTCTCCTAATTTGGTGTTGACTAAATTGAAGGTTTCGAGCATGCTTCTTTTGGTAACATTCATTGCAGTTTTCAATGTTCCCTCCGTGGCTTCAGTGTCATCCCCATTGTTTGTTTGGTCATCAGTAATGACTCTATCAGCATCAACAACCACGGCTCCATTTCCGTTCCCATTGTTTGTCTGGTCATCAGTAATGACACTATCAGCATCAACAACACCCTCCACGGTCTCATTTCCGTTCCCATTGTTTGTCTGGTCATCAATATTGACACTATCAGCATCAACAACACCCTCCACGGTCTCATTTCCGTTCCCATTGTTTGTCTGGTCAACATTCATGATATTTACAGAAGATGAATATGATTTTCCGTTTCGAAGTTGGGATTCTGACATTTTGAACTTCTTTCGAACTTGAAAAATGAGAAACGAACAAAGAATCCACATTTATTGAGATTTGAAAAATATAATAGACCACGAACAAATTATCTATCCGAAATACACAACCTTTTCTATTGAAATTAGACAGATCACTTTATTCGTGGTTTTATTCGCGCTGCGCGAAAAAGTATAGTTTCATTCATACATACGGCATATTTTCGTCGCAATTTGTTCAACAAACTGCCGACATAACCTAAAAAAAATTTCACTAAGATGCGGTAAATCTCATTTTTGATCGATGCCCTTGCCCACTCCCATCGGCAGATTTTTTTAAATTTCTAATTTAGTTGAATCAAAATGAAGATAATAACACCAAAATCTGCTGTATTGGTGAAAAAAATATACTTTTTTGCGTCGCGCGAATAAAGCGATCCGTCCAATTTCAATGAAAAAGATTGCAATTTATTATTTATAACGAAATTAATTGCAAGTCATCATTGAAAGATTCAAATGTGAATAAAAAGTAATTGTTTGAATAAAACACCTTTGGTCCTTACCTCACGTAAATAGATTTTCGAATGGATTAAATTTTTTAGACGATAAAATTCACTTGTTTCTTTTGACAAAACTTTTTTTTCTTAAAATAAAGAAGTGGTATCGTTTGTGTTTTATATTGAACGAAGCTGTCAAACCAAACATATTTATAATACAGACAAGCGCCCTCTTCTGTCAATTTCTCAATCTGGACCTTTCAACCAACTTCACAACTGTTCATGATAAAATGTTCCTTTTTTGTTATTCTAACCACATCTGATTGCAAATTGAGTGATTCAAAATGTAGTCTAGACTTAGTTGTTATTTGATTAAACATGGCGTTAAAATATGTACTGAAATTTTCTTTTCAGATAAACCACATCATCTTCTGGCTTGAATCATTTATGTTTGAAAGCGCGCCATCGGTGTTGCTGTTGTACGACTCACAAGCTAGCTCATATCGTGTGCAGCTGTTACGTAAACAACGTCACACCACCACACACTTAGGCGCAGTCGAAAAATTGACACATGACAATTGAATGTACGCAGTGTATCTAACTCAGAAACAAATTCAACATTTCTCCAGTAGTATTCTATTCAAAATGGCGTTAAAAGTACAAGTTGGTCAAAGTAAGTGAAATAAATTAAATTTTCATGAAAATTCACCGAAAAATTGCGTAAAATTGCACAAAATCCATCAATAACCATTTGCTGCATTCGATTCGTATAAAGTTTTGATTGAACCATAGTTTGCATCGAATAAAAATTCAAATCATGATTCATACTGCGGTTTCGCTATCAAAAAAAAACGCCCCATAATAAAAACAAAATTTCAATAATATTAGTGTTTTAATTCTTGTGAATGACAACATCAAGCGTCGTTTGGGTTAAAAAAAAACTTTCCATTTCAACTCGTCAACCGAGTGGAACTATCTTTGTTTCCATTGAATTTGGAATATAAAATTGTCGATATTGTTCTAAATAAATTGCAAAACGGTATGAAATACCAAACTGAAAAATACACAGCACTTACTCAATGAACATGGAATTATTGATTTTTTCATTTGGGATTGTGAACCTGCGCTGTAGCAGAGATATCACTCAAATATATGCTATTTCCATTGCGGTGTGACGTCATTTCTTCGGGTTGTGAGCATTTGTGAGTGTATGCGTGCGTGTGTGTTTGTTGGAATATATTGCGAAACCTCATTTCATATGTGATTCATACCAATTTCAACTAATAATTTGATGTTGTTTACCTAACTTCGCATTTGCAACTCATAACATTGAGTTGGCTATTTGAAATTTGTAGCGACAATGATTAATTTAGTTAGACAATTAGATGGAAATGCAAATGATATTTGCCGCTGTGTTTTTCGACAAAACAACCAATAAAATGTGTGCTCTTTTTCAGAGATTATGAACGAAGTCATTCGTTACAAGCCACCGAAGATCGGCGCCGCTGCGGCTAAAGGTGGTGGTGTCGAATGGCGTATTCTTGTAGTTGATAAGCTGGCTATGCGCATGGTATCGGCTTGCTGTAAAATGCATGACATCAGTGCCGAAGGAGTAACGCGTAAGTGGAAATAATAACACACGTTCACGTAGCTGAACGATGACCAAAGTGTGAACATCAAGTAATATTTACATTTCATCATTTTAGTGGTCGAAGATATAAACAAGAAGCGTGAACCGTTGGCAACAATGGAAGCCGTTTACTTGATTACACCATCGGAAGAATCGGTGCGATCGTTGTTGAGAGACTTTGAAGATCCAAGTCGCCCACTTTATCGAGGCGCTCATGTTTTCTTCACCGAAGGTATACACATCTTATTCGCATTGCTGATTCTCTTTGGACATTTTTCCTCAGTTGAAATTCAGTTTTTTATGATTTTCGATTTGTTTTCCTTTTTTTTTTAATTTTTATTTAATTCAAACACACAGCCATACCAAATCCAATACTTGAAATGATCAAAAATTCAAATGTCGTAAAATTTATGAAAGCCTGCAAAGAAATTAACATCGCATTTATACCGTATGAACAACAGGTGATTTTTGTTTTTGTTTTTGTTTTTTTTTGTTGTGTTTTTTCTGCAAATTGGTGTTTTTTCTGCACATTCAAAAGCAAATCTAATGAAAAGAATCTGTCATGTTTTCGTTCACCTCTGAACATTCCTCTCAAATGGCTGCGATTAAAACTGTGTTTTTCGGGTTTATTTTGAGTTTTTTTTTTCTTTTATTCTTTTCTTTTTCGATTTTATTTTCCTTTTTGTTCAATTTTTTCATAAAATTTTCACCCAAACCAATTTACCAACAACTAATTCTGTAAATAATTGCCATTAACTAAAACCAAATTGCCATTCATTTTTCACACTAACCTGTCCATCAAATCGCGCACGTACATAGTGTGTCCCGAGGAGCTGTTCAATGATCTCTGTAAATCGACGGCCGCACGTAAAATAAAAACATTGAAGGAAATTAACATTGCATTTTTGCCATACGAGTGTCAGGTGTGAATCGAAATTGTCACATTTTTCGCATGACCATTTGTTTTAAATTTGCTCTCCGCACAAGTAGTTTTAGACTTTGAGTGAAGTGTTATATTGCACGGTTACTAGCACCAAAGGCAATTTGTAGATTTATTTGATGTATTGGCATTGATCCAGAAACGTTACTAAATTTATTTCGTCTTGTTCTTGTGTGATGCTGAAACAAACAGGTGTTTTCGCTGGATTCACCAGACACGTTCCAATGCTTATACTCGCCAAGTCTGCAGGGTGCACGTTTAGCTCAAATGGAACGTATCGCTGAACAAGTTGCCACACTATGTGCCACTTTGGGCGAATACCCATCCGTTCGATATCGCCTGTAAGTTGAATTCATTATTACGATCCGAATGGAGATGCCGATTGTATACTGAATCTATGAACGATGAGTGAAACTAAATTGTAATCTTTGCTTCTTTTTGCAATTTCAGTGATTGGGATCGAAATGTTGAATTGGCTCAATTAATCCAACAGAAATTGGATGCGTACAAAGCCGGTAAATGAAGTCTAATGCGCAAAAGCGAAATTTCTGGATTGAATTGAATGTTATGTTTTTTTTTTTAGATGAACCAACTATGGGTGAGGGACCTGAAAAAGCTCGTTCACAGCTCATAATCTTAGATCGTGGCTTCGATTGTATTACACCATTATTGCACGAATTAACGCTACAGGCCATGGCCTACGATCTCTTGCCTATTGTCAACGATGTTTACAAGTGAGTAAAAAAAAGATCTGCTGCCACCTATTTTGATCACCATCCGTAAAACCCATTTTTATTTCATGTTAATTGGTTGCGTTTGCAGGTACATGCCATCACCAAACTCTGCTGATAAAGAGGTGCTTCTAGATGAAAATGATGAATTATGGGTGGAATTGCGCCATCAACACATTGCCGTTGTATCGACAGCCGTTACACAAAATCTCAAAAAGTTCACCGAATCAAAGCGCATGACACAAGGCGACAAACAGTCAATGCGTGATCTATCGCAAATGATCAAAAAGATGCCACAATATCAAAAGGAGCTATCGAAATATGCAACACATTTGCACTTAGCCGAGGATTGTATGAAATCGTATCAAGTAAGTGACAGATCTGCTGTTTATCCGAGTGAAAAAGTTCAATCATTCATGGAAAAACGACGAAATAAACAAACTTTCAAATGTTCTTCGCAGGGTTATGTGGACAAATTATGCAAAGTGGAACAGGATTTGGCGATGGGAACCGATGCCGAAGGTGAAAAAATTAAAGATCATATGAAGAATATTGTTCCAATTCTTTTGGATTCGGTGAGTTGAACGGCTACATTATTCCGATTCATCCAGATGTTGATCATTCAGAGCCGAGAGAATAATGTGCGAATTTCATGTGTCCATTTCAGAGCATCTCAAACTATGACAAGATTCGTATCATTGCCCTTTACTGCATGGTCAAGAATGGCATATCAGAAGAGAATCTACGAAAATTGTTCACACATGCCCAAATTGGTGAAAAAGAGCAGGATATGGTGCGAAATTTGAGCTTCTTGGGAGTGAACACCATTCAAGATGTAAGCATGACTTTGTTTTTAATGGAAATAAACTCAAGCCTTTGAAATTCTGAAAGTCAAGTGAAGAAAAAATCAAATATTTAAACCAAATTTCAATCTTCACAGGGCAACCGAAAGAAGACATACAACGTGCCACGCAAAGAGCGTATCACCGAGCATACGTATCAGATGTCACGTTGGACACCAGTTGCGAAGGACATCATTGAAGATGCGATCGACGATAAATTGGATCAGAGACACTTTCCATTCTTGGCTGGTCGTGCCCAGAGCAGCACATATTCTCATGCACCGACCAGCGCACGTTACGGCCATTGGCACAAAGATAAAGCGCAAACCTCCATCAAAAATGTACCACGTGTCATTCTATTCATTGTGGGTGGCATGAGCTACTCGGAGATGCGTTGTGCATACGAAGTGACTGCCGCCAATAAAAATTGGGAGATCATCATCGGTTCCTCACACATCCTAACGCCAGAAATATTCTTAAGTGATCTCGTCACACTCAACAAAGAAGACTAAACAAAATCAAACATTTAAAATCACAAACCACAATCTGTGTAACAAAAGAGAAAAATGCGATATTGTGCGATCGCAACGCTCGCTTGATATGGGGCAATATCATCTATAGCCAACGCAAAACACGCAAATGGTATTGGTGCAAGGATGACAAGAAGAAGAAAAAAAACTAAGTGTTGCAATGTTCAATTAGATAACATTTTATGTAAAGCAAAGCCACACACGATACAAACAAACAAAAACTCAATGTACCAGAGTGAACTTTAAACGGCTATACACCGAACAGGCAGCTCTTGGCTCCATTTCTTAGGCTAAGAGCTGAGCTCTTCGTAATTTAACCACCTTAATTAAGACAACAACTACAACAACAAGACATACACACACAACCCAAATATTTTTGACAAAAACTAAAACAAAACAAAAAACAATTTCACCCTTTTTGAATCAAGCACTTTTCAGAACATCATCTCAGAATCTTTTTCGAAATCAATTTGTTTGTTTCTATTAGAATATTCCAGTAATTTAAAGAAACACATATTAGTAATGAGTGAAAGAAAAAATAAAATATAATGAAAATAAGAAAAAATTATATAATTATATATGCCTTGATTTATGGTGATAAAAGTATTATTATTAAACTATTATAATTATTATAAAAATGTAAAACGAAGAAGATTTTTGTTTTCTTTTGAAAAATTACCAAGAAAAAAAAAACAAGAGAAGAGGAAAAAAAACATCACCTAAACATATAGAATATTTATTAGTGAGCATGCTTCTATTTAAATTGATTGATTCATTATTGATTAAATTATTACACAATTAATAAAAGAGACAAAAAAAAAAATTGAGCAAAAAAAAGTGAAATTAAATTATGAATTGTTAAATCGTTTTCGAGAAGGTTGAAAACGGGAAAGAAATAGAGATGAAAAAAATGTATTTTTTAAATTATACTTCACCTTCTAACGCTCGCTTTGAAGACATAAAATTAACTGGATGTCGGTTTAGGGTTTTAATATATAATTACTATTATTATACTTTTGTTGAGTCCCACAAGCAAGCATTTTAATTGAAACAATTGGAAATTTACTGATAAATGAAAGAAAAATGTAAAGAAAAGAAAAAACAAAATACTGTGATTAGTTGAGTTATAGTTGTTTATGTTCTGTTTTCCCAACAAGAGTAAAAAAATGTAAACGAACATGTTTACATGAGTTGAATAATTTTTTCGCCTCCCGTCTAAAATGATGCATATGAAAGGAAGGAGTTTTTATGTTCACGCAATTCGGCTAATTTCGCCACATTATATATCATTCAGCATTCAAACAAACGAATAAAAAGATAATAATATATTTTAACTAAAAAAAAGAACATTTATGGACAACCATCAAATTAACAATTGGAAACAAAAGCAATAATTTTCGAATTAAATATTTGAATGACTTTTGTGAAAAACGGAAGCAAACAAATGGAACAAAAAAGAAAAGTCAGAGACGAATGAGTTCTCTACGCAAAAAAAAAATGGCAAATGCAATTAATTTTGGTTTTTCTACATGAAACAATAATTTCGTGAAAAGCATATTCAAAATTGATTTTGTTAAAAAAAAAAAATTAGTAAAAATCGAATCAATAGACAATTTTGTTAAAAATCAAGTTTCTTTTGTTTTTTTTTTTTCCTCTATGCCGTTATCTCGCCATTATTTTCGTTCGCTTTTCACGCGTACGAATGGACACCACATTTTAACAGAGAACAATTTTTTTTTTATCGTTTTGTTTCTTTAGATTCAACAAAATAAAAATTGCTTAGATGTGATAGCCGAACGAAGGTGAACTAATTTTTAGCAAAAGCCAAACACAGACAAAAATGAGAAAAGAAACAAAAAGAAGAAATAAAAAAATGACGAAGAAAATGCATGTGTGTAATTTTCCAATCTCTTATCGCATTGCCATCGAATAAAAAACGTTCAACTTTTAAATGTAAATGTTTAATGTGCTTGAGAAATTGAACAACCATAAATAATATCAAATTGAAATCTATTTTACAACAAACAGCAAACAGATACACACTCACATCCGAACACACAGAATATCCATAGAATCAATGTCATTCTTTTTGTGTACATTTATGCGGCTCGCTTTAAATTTTCCATTCTCCTATGATAACAGATTTGTTTATTTTCTCCTTGTGTTTTGTTCTTCTCTTACACCTTTCGAATTCGAAATGATCTTGTGTACGCGAAACATTTCAATCCCAAACTGTTTTGACCATTGTTCACGGCACATTGCCACGCAACGAAACACATTCCACAGCAACACCACAGCAGCAACCGAATCGAGTTCGTTTATTTTCGTTCTTATCGTATAGAATCAAACTGCAATTACCTCTTAAACTCTCTTCATTCTTCAAATTACAAATTTAAAGAGAAATTTAACAAAAAAATAAACGAAAAAAAAATTAAATATCCTAACTACATACTTAAACTAACGCATATTTCAACCATATAGATTTTCATCGTATAATCTAAAAGCATATTTAACGATTAATAAACAAAAAAAAGATAAAAAAACAATGTCAATTTCAATTTAACTAAAACAATAAATAGTTTAGAGCTAGAGAAGAAGAAAAATTTGGCAAATGAAAGGCGTTACAGACAATTTTAGCGACGTTATTTAAAGCATTTACTTCGCATGTGAATTAGTTCATTCAAATTTAGTAAAAATCAATAAAAAAACATATTTAAAAAACATTCAACACGTTTTTTGCCAATGCGCAGATTTTTATTATTTTTTCATATAGGAAAAGTACAAGAATGGGAGAAAAAATGACTCTTCGGAAGAAGTTAAGGGAAAATTTTAATTTTACGTCTAATCCGTTGCATTGGCTGCGCTGCACTTTTGGAATTTAAGGCAATGGGATTGCGTCCAGAAGTGCTCGGAAAAATCTGGCAAACGATAGACGTCCCATTGGTTTAATGTTCTCCATTGGAATTTCGTTCTCTTCTTCGATGAAGTTATTAATCATGAATTCTTCTTTGCTCTCGGCTGGTGAAATCTCGTCTTCAACATTTTCTGCATCCTTTTCCTCACCATCTTGTTCTAAACTTTCCTCTTTTTTGTCGCTGACCTGAACCACATCTGAAATGCTCTGTTCTTCATTTTCAGCAATTTCATCTTGAGAAATTGAATCTTCAGCTGGTGGATCCATGCCGAGTGGATCAACAAAGTATAAATTATTATCGTCGAACGCTGCTCCATCAAAATCATCGGGGAATGGAGCCAAGAATGGCGCTTTGTAGCTTGTTGGTTTTTCTTCAGGGACAATTTCTTCAGAAGCTGGTAAAATTTCGTCTTCAACATTTTCTGCATCCTTTTTGTCACCATCTTGTTCCACACTTTCTTCTTTTTTGTCGCTGACCTCAAACACATTTGCAATGCTCTGTTCCTCATTTTCAGCGGTTTCATCTTGATAAACTGAAACTTCAGCTGGTGGATCCATGCCGAGTGGATCAACAACGTATAAATCATCGTCAGCAAACGCTGCTCCATTGTAATCATCGAGGAATGGAGCCAAGAATGGCGCTTCGTAGCTTATTGGCTTTTCTTCAGGGGCAATTTCTTCAAAGCCTTGTTCTGGTTCAGGAAGATATTCTGTGTCCTCCTCCTCTTGATTCGTCGTTTCTCTGTCCTTTACCGAGTCGACCACTTCAAAATCTATTTCAGTACTCCTCTCTTGCAAGATATCTTCTTTCGTGTTCGGAACCGCACTTTCATCTGCCGACTTAGGTTCTAAGCTTGCCGATTTTGAACTTTTCTCACTCAATTTTAGTGCTTTTTTCTGAAGTGGTTCTCTGAAGTAATCTTCAACGTATTTCTTACCATTGAATTTATCTTCTGTTGGCTCTCCTTTAGTTGGATTCACTTCGACTGGATTCACTTCCTTATTTGGATCTTCTTCCAATGAGCCTTCAGCAGCTGAATCAGGCATAGACCATACGATGTGCGCGAATGCTCGCATGAACGCAGCATTGATCTGTGCTTGTTTCTCGTTTCTTTCTTCACTGTTGTCATCAATGGGTTGATTTTCCTTACTCTCCAAACTCGGTGCGTTTTCAATATTTTCAGGAGTAGACAATTTGTCAACGCTTTCAATACTAAACAGTTCCACGTCACGTTCAGGTTCTTGCACAATTGGTTCTTGTACAACTGGTTCGTTGGCACCGTCCTCTGTATATTCCCGTATTTCATCCACAATTAATGGTGATTGCTCTGCATTGAAAATTCCATCAGATGGTAACACATCATCAAATACTGCTTGATATTCTTGAGTTTTGGGCTCGTCTTCAGGCAAAGGTGACACATCACTATTTATTGCAAATATTCCATCGTCTCTATATGAACTTATTTCAGCTGGCGGTTCTTCAACCGCTGGATAATTTGTTGGCGTCATAAAGAAAAATCGGAAGAAAAATCCATCATCACTACCACTGTTGTCATCCTGACAACGAACAATTGTGTTCGGTGCACAAATTGCAACGAATAAAACGATCGTTAAAGACCTCATCTCTGAACTTTGTCGTATCACTTTGAAAATTAAACTGAAGTCATCACTGGGAATATTCATATATTTCAAGCAATTTTCAAGGGATGTGGCAAGAAATGATCAACACATTGAGTCGTAAAATAAACGTCGCAATTGCTATGGATCATCTAAAAATGTGCAGTGTGCACCGTATTTTATTTGCTCATTCGCAATAAATATAAAATATTCTGCGACTGTTGTTGCTTCACCGGTGAAAAAAAATACTGTTTCATGAAATTCAGTATTTACTCTGTGGCTGATTCACGTCTTCTGCGTTCTACAGATGGATTGATGCAATCAGAATTGACGACGAAGAATCGCTTGTTTTTGACTAATCGTCAAAATTTTCAATTAATATTGAAACGCATTAAAATATCTATTGAAGTAACTCAAATACGTGATCTGATTGATATTATGAATGAAAATATTTGGGATTTGCAATAGATTCAAATGTGTTTATTTAAGGAAATTCAAACATTGTAATCAAACACATATGTCGATATAAAAAGAATGAACGTCGTCACTTTTAAAATGTCAATGTATTGAAATATAAATATACTTACCAAGTTCATGATCATTGGCTAAAAAATGTAGAAGTTTTACTTGAAAAACAACAACCCATTTTTTATACTGAAATTTGATGCATAGTCAAACCATTTTGTTTTTGTTTATTAACATCGGGGTTTACATCGGAAACAAAATTTATTTAGTCGGTATTTTAGCTGACATATACTGAGCAAATAATATTTTCAATACTGAAGTGATGCACATTTTGAATGTTCATCGCTTTGCTAATTACTTTGAATTCATAGACACTTATTTGGAATACTATTGCAGCAACTGGAACGGCATAGTTCTTTTTGAAGAAAAGAAAAGAAGTATACGTTTTTTTTTTATAAATAAAGTAGAAAAGCATTGGTTTGTAGTATCGATTGCTGTCGCAGTATGAAGCATACAATGCAAAGTGCATTCTTAAAAATAGACAGTATTACAAAAAGGAGACATTCTCATTTTTATTTCCATTTTCGTTTTGGTTTCTCAATAAAAAATAAATATTTTCTGCTTCTTCTTTTGTCGCGCTTGTTTTTTCTTTCGTTTTCTTTCACTCAATTTGGATATGCTATTTTAAAAAAATGTCTCATCACTCTATCGTCGGGTAAAAAAAACAATCTCTTTTATTTGTATGGTAGTCTCAATATTGTATTGTTTTGTATTTTCCACACGGATATGTTGCCTTGTTCGTATGGCCTACGAAAATGCCAAGTTTAAAAAAGTTGAATCGTTTCTGAGACCAGATAAAAGAACAGATCTCCATTAAATAAGTCACTGCTTTCGAATTAAGCAATCGCCGAGTATTTCGTCATATATTTTGCTTTGTTTTGGATATAAAAAAAAAGAGGGGAAAAAAATTCAATTAAGAAATATATTTTAACTAAATGGTTTTTTTTTTTCATCATAGAAACATTGTTAACTGGCGATACAAATATGATTTTGAAGTAGAATCTATATGAACAATTTTTTTTTGGGTTGGCTTGATTTGTACATGTTTACAAATATGTTTGTTTTTCTCCGTTTTTGCCGGAAGAAATTGGCAGGACAAAAGTTCCACAATTTCTTGGTACAAAAAAAAAAACAACAACGAAAACTGAATATGAAAACAATTTTAGTTCGTAAAATTGAAGTGAAAAGAAAAAACACGTACGTTGCATGATACGCCTCTCATTTGCATCGTAACATAAAAAATTATGTCTCATTCATACGAAGAGCGGAAAAAATCATTTTTAATCCATTCAAAAAATTGTATCATCCCTACAGTCATTACGCTAATTTTATTACTTGTTTTGTTGTTGTTTAATTCAACATTCAATTGTGTTTGTTTCGATTTCAGTTTGTTTTACAAAACCAGAATAAATTGAAATTCCTAGCCTAGTCGGTGATGGTTTCCTTCGTTTGCTACTCTATCAAAAACATTCGATTGTATTCTACATTCATTTATTTGAGTTGTTGGTCTGTATGGCGCGACCGATGTGAGCCAAGCGTCAAACAAATTGATAGAATGCAATCTCTTCTAACAAAGAAAATGCAATTTAAAAAAAAAAGGAATTAACCAAATTCGTGTCTTTGTGTGTGTTTTGTTGTTGTTATTGTCTGTATTCGACAATCTACAAAAAGTACGGTGTAATTTGTTGCGTTGGTATAACACGTTCCGAGTCGGGCACGGCTTTGAATATGATTGGATTACGTTCTTTGGATGTTTTGAAGCTCAGTATGGATGCAACATTACCGCATCGATAGCAGTAATTGGGTGCCGACCAAACGGTCACCAGTTGATTATCGAACATATACTTGATGCCCTCGTGCACCAGCTGATGAGCCCGGCAAATCAAATCCAAATTATTAATCTCCATAAAATCCTGCGTAACACGAGCACCGAACAGCCAACCGGCGCCCCATCCTCTGGATCCGACCACACCAAATCGCAAAAGGCACCTTTGTACGGGATTTCTTGGTTACGATCAATCATGCGAATTTGATCTAGGGTTCGAATGTCAGGACTCAATCCACCATGAACACACAAAATATCCTCATCAATTAACTAGCAGATGAAAATGTGAAAACAAAGAGAAATCCACAAAAAACGTTGACATTAACGAGTGCTAATCATATTATGATGGTGATAATGGTTTTGAGTAGCTTTGAACTGTGTTCACTACTTACGGCTGCAATGGTAAGTAAATCAAAAACACGACAACAATATTTCCATGCATTTGAGTTACCATATTTGCTCAAACATTCATCATAGAAGCCGTAGACTTTGGTTATTTGTCGTGATTCATGATTTCCACGTAATAATGTGATTCGGTCCGGGTATCGTGCCTATGCAATTAAATCAGAACACATTCATTCAAATTAAAATGTAACACTATTGGCACCGTCATACCAAATAATATGTATTGATCAGAGAAAACCGTTCATACCTTGAGCGTCATAAGTCGAGTGAGAGTTTCTAAACTAAAATAGCCGCGATCGACAAAATCTCCCATAAATATGTAGTTTGTATCTGGTACCTGGCCATCGCATCGAAACAGTTCCTCCAAATCATGGAACTAGAATAGAGTGTGCAATTTATTCAGCATGGAAACTAATGATAATAATAACAAAAGCAATCGACTGAGAGAGCGTAGATTCGTGATAATCCATGTGGAAAATGTATCAAGGCTAAAATAAATGTCATGTAAACTGCTGTTCAGTGTTCAACAAACACAGAGTTTTTAGCATTATCATGCGACGTAAATTATCGGCACAGAATTCCACTGTGCATTTTGTTTGTATGGGTATTTCCATCGAATTGATTTGATTTCTATCCATTAGTTTAATAGATAATCGAGACACTGGATATTTTTGTTCCATTTTTATTACGTTGAAATATTGAAATAACAAATCTTTCACGTGAACGGATGACATTTATCTCTGTGGCCTTTGTCTCAGTGTTGGCTCACACACTTGTTCAGTGTTTGTATTCCATTATGATCCGCGTGCAATTTGGAATACACACACACATAATTAAAGCTAAAAAAACTGTCAATTGGAATATGAAACCGAACAATTGACCGAGATTACAATTGATCGTGAAATCCGCAATGAATTTTACAATGCTATTCATTGTCTGCACCACAATCAAACTCACCTGCCCCCCATGGATGTCTCCACATACTGTGACTGGTGTACTAACAGGCTGTTTGAGATCATTTTCAGGCAGGTATTTACACTCGCGTGATATCTCTAACCAGAAGAAAACCAAACTCTTCCTTTTCATGCTGTGTGTGTGTGTGTGTGTGCTCCACTTTCAGCCCGCACCTTCTCACGATTCCCTTTCTTTGACTCTTTTTCCTCTTGGATCTTTGCTTTTTTCTCCGATTTTGCTTGTATCTTTTGCATCAAGAATCTACAGTATTTTTTTCTT